GCCCAGCGCTGGCTTATAATCTTTGTTTAATGTTGCATTTCTGAGCTAAGAAGCCCTGTATCAGCGGTTAGATATTTAGTTGTATATAATTTACACCCTGATCGTGAATCGATCCGACACCTCTGGATGGAGTCTCTCTCATTTTTCACGCTCCTTCCGAGGTGCTGAAATAATATCTTCTCATTAGGAGGCTGCGAAGCCCGGCTAATTTATCCAAACTGTCAGTGCCTTGTAGAACCTCAGGTTAAAAATAAATCAGCAAAGAAACCGCCCCATCACTTCTCTCCAGCCCGTTCCTGTTTCCCTGACTTCTCCCCAGCCACCTCCACCGCCCCCCAAAGGACCACACTACCCATGTGGCGCTCCCAAACCCACCCAGGGAACCGACTCAACCTCAACATCCAGCTCCCTTCCTTCTTTAGACTAAGGACTTGGGGGGGGGGCTCCCTGCCAGTGTGGGAAAGAGAGGAATTTCCCCACTGCTGGGGGGCCGGGGGGGGGGCGGCACGGGTCAGTGGCCACCTTGTCCACAGGTTCGGCCAGAGCCATTGAGGGAGCACTAGATCATCGGCCCTAAAATACGTTTTTTCCCCCCAAAGTTACGAGGGGAAGCCATGCTACTTCCAAAGATCGCTGGTCAATTTCAAAAGCTTTGTCAAGGCCAGCTAGTCAATTTCACCTCCTAAGAAACCGGCTTTGGGCTCCAGTGGACGAATCAAGAGAGTTTAAAACTCAAAACCAGGAAGGAAACAGAACCCCAACGCACCCACCGCCTTTTCCCTTGTGCCTGAACTCACACGACTCGCCCCCTAGCAACCAAGACAGCAACGACCCCTCTGGTTACCCTTCCTGCTCACCCCCAAAAGAGGGGAAGAAGAAGCAGAAGGAGGAGGGGGGGAGAAAAAGAGGGGGGGCTAGAGAGGGATCCCACCTCGAGGCCCAAGCACCCAATTTCCAAAGCCATTAATTTGCTTTGGGTAGTTTATTCGTGAAGAGCTTTCGCCTGGCAAACGAGGCTCTTGAAAATTACGTCGATAATTAATTGTGCAAATTTGTTTCTATTAAATAAAAATAACACGTATTGAAGAACTCAATTAGCATTAATTAAGCTTGATATCCTAATTTGGAAGTTGTGTAATAGAAAACAAGCCTTTTAGGAAGAAGGGGGGGTCCCCCCTTTTTCTCCCCAAGCCCTGGCAGCTTCCCCCCCCCCCCTCCCCCCCCTCCCCCCCTCCCCCTGCCCCCCTCCCTTCCTCTTCTCTGCTTGCTGGAGAAGGAGCGAAGGCGGCCTCGGCTGCCTTCGGCTTGGCGTCCCTTCCTCCGCGCCCCCCCCCCTCCCGCCCCCTTCTTCCTCCCCTCCTCTCTCCTTGGAGAATTGGAAATGAGAGATGGAGACGGGGAAATCAGGAGGTGCTAAATTAGCTGACTGATCCGCGCTTATTGCCGCATACACATCCCCCCATTATAGAAGCTTTCGGCAGCCTTCTCTTAATATTCCAGGCATGGAGACCAGTCTAGATAGCAGATTTATCAAATGGGAAAATGAATGTATGATGATCAGTTAAATTGAAAATCAGCCCCTGCATGACAGGCCGACCTGACACCTCCGTAATTAGAAAGAAAAATGATAGCGTCCGATGCATAATAGAGCAAAAACAATTTACACTCCCCCATAATGATCCGGCGTTCAAATTGAAAATTTCTCCTGGTAGAAATTGAATTCATAAAGTGTGATTCATGGCGGACGCATCTCCTAGAGGCTGCCTGGAACCAGATCGATTGATAGTTTGTCTAGAATCACACAGGCTCCTGCTCCGGGGTTGGGGTTTTTTTTTTTTTTTCCGAGGGGGAAGAGAGGGGAGGGGGAGAGGGGAGGGGAGGGAGGGGGAAAAGGCCCCCTCTAAACTGCTTAAGTAAATCAGTAATTTCACCTTAAGGACACGAATGTGCGAGCAGCGATACTCCAACATTCAAACGCAGATCCATTATACATGAGTTCCACACACACCCTCGCTTTTTTTCCTGCCCCCTCCCGGAGCCTTCCCCCCCACCCCATCCGGCCGGCCTGCCTGCCTGGCCGCGGCTCCCACCACCCAAATGAACAGTCCGCAAATTGCAGGAAGGAGCCGATTTATCGCGGCGAGACAAACCTTAGATAAAATAACCAACATTTTTATGCGCAATTTTCTGCTACACTTTCTCAAGTTAAATGACATTTTAAATACAGTTGGACGATTGGGCGGGGGGGGGGGGCACGGCACGGCGGGGGGGAAGAGGAGGAGGGGTCGGGCGAGGGTCGGCAGGAAAACCTGATTTGACAGGAGGCAGATTGTGGGGGTAGGGTGGGGGACACGAAAAGCCATCTCCTGCCATACCCAGATTGGTGGGGCGAAGAAGTTCCAAATTGTGTTTTTTTGGGGGGGGGGGGAACTTAAGGATGTGCGTGTGGGGGGGTCTCCCCTTGTTTTCGGTGCGCTTAGAGCGCGGGATTCATTCTCTAGCGTGGGGTAAGTGAAAGAAGAAATAAATGAAGAATTTATCACAGAATCGGGAGTGATTCGAGGCTGGGGGTGACCTCGGGCGACTCTTCAGCAACTCCTTCGCAGTTCCTTCCATTTTTACCTTCTTCTTTTTTTTTTTTTTTAACGCTCCGCAACTTTATCCAGAAGTTGTCCTTCCGAGTTTGCCATCTGTTCCTTTCTCTATTTCCCTTTAAGCAAAAGAGGGGTTGTTTTTTTTCCCCATTTCGCCTTTCCCCCTTCCAGCTCCTTACCTCTCTCATCCCCTCCAACTTTCTTGCTTTTGATCTAATTATTCACTGCCCCCCCCATAAGCCCGTCTCCTAGAGAGCAAATATCAGAGTCACTGAGCGAAAATTATGTAAATATTATTAAAGGGACTCAGGCTTAGAAATTCATTTGCTTCGACAGAGGGCAGAAAAAACGGGGCGCGGGGAGGGGGGCGAAGAAAGAAAGAAAGAAAGAAAGAAAGAAAGAAAGAAAGAAAGAAAGAAAGAAAGAAAGAAAGAAAGAAAGAAAGAAAGAAAGAAAGAAAGAAAGAAAGAAAGAGAAAACCGTTCCAGTCCTTCTGATTATTTTCAATTTATTTGCAAATAAAGGCCTGATGACCAGAAGGGATCAGAGATATTTAACGAGGCTGTAAACATAATTCCACTGCGCACAGACTCACCAGAATTAATGGTTTTAATAATTGGCAAGACAATTTCAGGGGAATTGCTTGGAGTTTTAAGCACCCTGCAAATTTCAAGAGACGGGCGGGAGAGATAGATAGATTGATTTTAAAAAGATTGTTGGGTTGAAGGCTGCGGTGGCAGGTTTTTGTGTGAGGTGTGTGTGTGTGTGTGTTTACTCTTATTATTATTATTTTTAGACCCAGCCAAGTTTGCTAATATATCTTTGGTGCAGCTGTCTTCCAACCCCCAAAGGTTCCCCAAGGACCCCCAACCCTATTAGAACAAATGCGTTCGCCTTTTGTATAAAGAGAGAGAGAGAGAGAGAAAAGGGGGCGAACATTTGCGGCGCCTGTCCTATTACGCACGACATATGATCAATAGGCTGATAACGCCACAACATCAATATAAGCGACAGAACAATGAAACATATCATTGGACATCTATCTTAATATAGCTAGCTACAAGAGGGCTGACAAAGGGGGGAGGAGGGAGAAGAAAAGAGAGAAGCTCAGCCCGGGAGGGGGCCGGTGCCAGCCCCCTCATGAAAATTCCGGCCCACGTCTTCCCATCTCCGCTCCAATATGCGCGCCCACCTCCCTCAGCTACCGAGGCTATTATTTTCCAATTTCAATTTGACACCCCAGCCTTTCATGCTAATTCTATTATTGTAGGAAGTTTATGTGATTTCATATCACTAGAAATCGGTAATGTATAATAACCCTTTGGGCGAGAAAAGCGAATCCCCGCAGCCGCCAACGGGAAAATAATTACTTTCATATCAAAACGCACCAGGAGCTGGCCTGGTCCTTACAGCCTGAAGCTGCTAACCTCGTGTGGGGAGGGGTTGGTGGGGTGTGGGGGCGGGGAGGGGGAGGAGGGGGTGAGAAAGGAGGTTAGGGGGAGTGACGGTGAGTCTGGAAAAAAAAAATACGGAAAGCGGTGGCCTTGGCGGAATATATTTGTTAAGCAATGAACCCGCGGAGGGCAGAGCTAGAAACAAGCGTTAAAAGGTAGTTTTTAAAAAATAATAACGTTTTTTATTTATTTAAACAAACCCCTCGCTCCTTTTTGAAGCTACTCTTTCAAATCCAATCCAAAACGACCCCTCTCCATTTTAACCAGGAGGTTATTGGGGGTATTTTTATTTTTATTTTCTTTCTTTTTTTTTAAAGCGAAGACGAAGAAAAATGCCAGGTCTGATTTTTAAACAGATTTTTATTTATCAAAAAAAAAAGTGTGTAATTTTTTTCTTTTTTTTTTTTACATATATAAATATCTTTAAACATTTTTGCAATTTACAAGGTTTGAGGAGTCGCTGTTGTGTCTGGTTGGTTGAGGGGGATTTTTTTTTTTTAAACCAAAGCAAAACAAAAACAAAACAATTTGCATTCAGGTCAAGTCCAGCTTCGGGCCAAAGAAAAATACCCTCCCCACACACCCCCTGCCGCTCGGAGCTTCTTTTGGGAAGGAAACCAAAGAGAATAAAATTAAATTATATTTAAAAAATTATCCTTCTCCCCCGCCCCCCCTTTAAAAATAATATACCGGTCACCTGATTTGAAGAGGGCAAAGTTTGAACCTGGGAAGGTTTTGGGGGGAGGGAGGCGAGAAAAAGAATGGAAAAATAGAGGTCGCGAACTGGGGGCGGGGGGGGGCAGGGGGCGGGGGGGGGAATGGAGAGAATCTAAGAGGAAAAACTTTGGGAATGTGAGAAGTTTCGACTGATCCATAGCCCCCACCCCCGCCCCCGCCCGCAAGGAATCTAGCAGATAAAGATGCCCGACTGGCCCCTCCCGCCCTCCCCCTCCTAGTCCATATCCACCTCCTCACAGTCTAAACTGTTGGTCTCCGTCGCACAGTCTCTCTCCGTCGTGCGGCAATCCGGATTGCCTTTGGCGTGGCCAGCCTCCTTGGGGGGCGACTTGGGGGGCGACGACGAGCCGCCGCTCCCCTCCCCCTGGGAAGCCGAGTCGCCGCCGTAGGGCGCGGGGGAGGCGGCCGAGGAGGAGCAGGGGGCGGCCAGCGGCGAGGCCAAGACCTTCCTGGCCAGGGAGGCGCCGCCGTCGCCCGGCGTGGAGATGGCGGCCGTGCTGCTACTCTTGGGGGGCGCGGGGTCCGGGCTGGGGTTGGCGGCGGGGAGCGGGGAGCCTCGCTGGGGGGCCTCCTGGGCCGGGTTGCTCTTCAGGGCGGCCTGGGGCACGATGAAGCCCAGCGGCTGCGTGATGGGGTAGAGCAAGAAGTGGCCCTTGCCGATCAGGGTGCGCGCCGCAGGGGCGCAGGGAGCCAGGGCGGGCGAGAAGTCCAGCGCCGCTTTCCGCCGAGGCGGGGAGTCCGACAAAAGGCTCTCCACGCTGAAGGGGTTGAGCTTGGGGTAGCCGCCGGGCAGGGCAGGGGGCCCCGCGCACTCCGATCCTGACGGGCCCCCCGGGTGGTCCTTGGCGGCGCAGCGGCCCGGGTAGAAAGCCGAGGCGGCGGCCGGGTCGCACCCGCCGGGCAAGGGCGCGTGGTGGTGGCCGCTGCTCGAGGGCGTCTTGCAGCTGTCGGGCGGGTCCGGGGAGAGGCCGCCCCCGCCGCCGCCGCCCCCGCCGCCGCCGCCCCCGCCGCCTCCCCCGCCGTCGCTGTCGGAGCTCTGCGTGCTGCTGTTGACCGAGAGGCCGCTGGGCGAGTGGAGGCCGCGGGCCTGGCCTTTCAGCAGCTTCTTCTCGTGCTTGCGCTTCTTCTTCTCCATCTTCTCCAGCTCCTTGCGCGCGATCTCCTCCGGATCCATGGGCTCCCCGCTGCAGGTGGTGGGGTGCGAGTTGTGGGCCGGCCGGCCGGGACCCTTTTTAGTGTTTTCTTTCTTGCGCCACTTGGCCCGGCGGTTTTGGAACCAGACCTACACACCGGAGAAGGAGGAGAAGGAGAAGCTGTTAGCCGCCGGGGTCCCTCTCCCCCACCCCACCTGGAGGCCGGGGGGGGGGAGAGACACCCAGGTCGGCCCCTCCGCGCGTGGGGCTCGGCAGTAATGGAGGAAGCAGGCGAACCGCTAAAAAACAGGGAATTAGTCCTCAGAATATGTGGCGGTTTGCGCGCCGCCTTTTGACGGATATTTAAAAGAAAGCAGGGGAAAGGGGGTCTTAGGTTTTGTTTTTTGCTTTTTTTAGAGACCGGGGGAGCTTCTACCCCAGGCAGAAAAGTCCGCAAAGGCTGAGGAAGGAAGGCGAGGAGTTGAAAAGCGTAAGAAAAGAAAGCCAGGAGATTCGCATCAAAATATCAAGAGGCTTTTTTGCCCCCTCCGCTCCCCTGGTCCTTTCTTCCCAGTCCACGAGGAGGGGGGGTGAGGGGAGTTTTGGGGAACAGGGTTTCTGCTTCTCCACGCACCCCCCACCCCCACGACTGCTTGCATACAGCCCACGCCGCATCCTTTGCCCAGCGTCCTTTCTTTGCCATTCCCCCAAAGAAGGGTTTGGGCCTGAGGAGCGATCCTATGCGTTCCCTGTTTCTACAACGGCTGGGGTGGGGGGGCGGGTTATATCTTAGTTTTTGGTTTTGGTTTTGTTTCTAATGAAAGGTCGCTGCCACAAGAGGGTGAGAGGCAGAAATTGCGCGGAAGGGATGGGAGGAAATCAGGAGTGGAGAACTTTGTAGTAAGAAAAATCCGCACGCAACCCACCTTCTCCCTCGCGGAGCGGATAGCGGAGAAGGGTGGGGAGGCGGGGCGGGTTTCACCACAAAGGACCGAGAGTTTGAGGGTCTCTAACACTTGACAAATTTAGGGAAGCGTGGAAGAGGAAAACCTTGGAGGAGAATCGGTCTACCTCGGTAGGAGCGTATCTCGCTGGGGGTGTCGCAGCGGGAATCGAGGCCACCCGGCCTTTTCGCTGCAGCTCCAAGGCCGCCGCCGCCGCCGCCGCTGTCGCCTCCTGGCTAGGATTTGTTGGGGGGGGGGGGGGAATTGGGGAAAGAAAAACTCTGACCCCCGTCGAAGATCAAGGCTTAACGGCCCCTCCCCGAAAAAAAACAAAAGCCAACGTCTCGAAGGAACTGGCCATATTTAGCAGCCCTCTCCCACTATTTTAATCCCAATTTTAAACCTTAATGAGATGGGAGAGAAAACGCGGAGACAACACAATTTGTAGCCTGGGGGGCTGGGGGGGGGGACGAGGAGTAACCAGCTATCTTTGAGGGGGGGGGTTGGGGGGGGGGGGAAAGAAAAACGGATCTCAGAAGGGAGGTTTGGGGCATCCATGATTTGACATTAGCTCTTCAACCAAAGAATCTCCTCTGAAAAATGTCCGCGGTTTTTTTTTAAATCACATATTATTTTTTCTAAATCGTAACCACAATAAAAACAACCCTCCTAATCGGTCTTTCCGTCGCTCATTCCTATTGCAAACCTCAACGGAGAAAACTTTTAAAAAAAATTAAATAAGCACGTTGAGGGGGGAAAAGAACAACAATCTAAGACTCGTTCATTTAAACAGTTTTCCAAACCAAATGGCGATTTAAACGGGAGAATTATGGCCGTTGTTGCCTTATTTTATTATTTGTTTTAAGGAAAGGGGCGAGAGGGTTTCTTGAATAGCCAGTTTTATTTCAGATTGTGTTTTTTTGTTTTAGCCGTCCCCAAGGTAAAATCGGCTGGGCTGGGAGGTGATTGCCATTCCTGTTATTTTTCTGTTTTGTTTTTTAGCTGCCTCGGTGTTAGCTTCCTCCAGCCCTTGTCAGGCAGAATTACTAATTATCGTATTAGAGGGGAAATCAAGGATCTTGACTTCAGTCAAAACCCTTGAACAGATTGGATAAAAGGATTTCAAAATAGAAGAGGTCAAAAGGAGGCAAGGAGGGAGGGAGGGCAGAAGTATTTTGTAAATACACTTTTTAGGCCAGGCCTGTGCTTAGATTAATCGGAACCTTTACTCGTGGGAGAAGGCAAAGCATTGGGAAATGTTTCGTTGCCTTTTTGAATGTTATTTTATGCATCTTCCGAAAGGCGCGTGAGAGGCATTTCAGGGCGATATCGCCTCGATAGAGATATCTTTCTGATTTTAAACTTGGAATTTCATTCCAGGGGCCTTTGGGGGATCTTAGCTTTGGGGGGGGGGGGTTTGGTGGTGGTGGGAGATCCTGGAGGGGCTTTGCCAAGCTGAGAGAGCTCACCCCTCCCTCCTCCAGCCTTCCAAATTCAAACCTTGGGTTCTTGAACCCAATTAATTGGCCCCTTTGAAGCTCGAGTGGGGTGGAGTATTAAAAGCAGGCGCGTGTGCGGGTGGGTGGATAAGTAAGGAGAAAGGGCCGAGGGATGGAATGGAGTCACAGGGAGGGAGGGAGGGATTTAAAAGCATTCCAGGATTTACCACGCCATTCTTGCAGCCCCCACCCCATCCGATCGCGCCCCCACCCCGCCACAAATGCAAAACGCCACGTTGATCATATAGGACTTTTGCAAAAATTTAAAGCCGATTCGTTTGATGCAAATAGTGCCTTACTTTTTTCAGAGGGGGGGGAGGAGAGGAAATAAGGGGAAAAATAACCCCAAGAATTGCAAATTTGCCCCCTCCCTGAAGGAAGAAGCGCGGACAGCGCAATTGCGCTGGCCTTGAGAAGGGAATGCGGAGCCGGAGAAACGGCTGAGCGACCGCAGCTTCTCCACCTCGGCTAAGGCCTGACTCGGCGGCTGTGGCCCAAGACGGAGGAGAGGCAGGCCTGCTTAGGTCCCAGCCCTGGGCAGCGAGGAAGGGGCAAGCGGCACCCCCCCCCCCCCCCCCCCCCCCCCCCCCCCCGCCTCCACCCGATCCAGCCGCAAGGCGAGGGCTTCCCGCATAAAGACGTCGGGATAATGGCTTTCGTTAAAGGCCTTCTCCAGCTCTTCCAGCTGCCAACCCGTGAAATTCGTCCGGGTCCTTCGTCTCTTGCACCCGGGACTTTCCTTGTCCGGATCCACCGAGTCTGGGGAGGGAAAGCAGAAAGGGAGCTAAAGGAAACGAAGCTGAACCCGTCCCGTCCCGTCCCGTCCCCAAACACACACACACACACACACACGCAGCCCCGTAGGCATCTCCTTAGAAGCGTTTCCAGGCAAGGATATCTTCAAAACGTCCAGTCATGGGGGAAACGTAATTTTTTTTTAGATCCCAAGCCTGGTGCAACCCTCATCTGCCCCACATCTACGTCTTTTTCCCCCGTTTTATTTATTTTATTTTAGAACATTTATATTGCCACCTATTCGCCCAGGACGACCCAAGGCGGCTTACACCATTTGCTCCTAAAAGCGCCCTTCTTTGGAAACCAAAGCGGCTGTTTAAAAATAGATTATTCAAAGAAGTGGAAGGCGGGGGGGGGGGGGGAATGGGAATAATGGGGAATTTCTAAAAGGGATTTCGCTCTGGCGTGTTTTTATTTTGTTTTGTTTATTTTCTCTCCTTAGAGTTTAGCCCTCACTTGAAAGCTCAGTTATTGGGGAGGGGGTCTAGGACGCGCGTGTTTAAATTGGCACGTGCCTCTTTGCCTCGCCCTTTTTCCCCCCTCCCCCCTCCCCAAGTAAAAGTTAAGGAAGGCGCCTTTGCGCAAAGGGAGGTTTTAAAATTGAATTGGGGGGGGGGGGTCTGAAGAAGCCTGACATCAAAAGGCTATTTTCTGCGCAGGATTGCAGGCTTGAAAGAAAAAAAAAGAAATGAAGGCACTAGGCAGCCAGATTTAAGATTCCTGAACTTCAGATAGATCCACCGATGCCCGTTTGTCAGAGAATAGTAATAATTAATCATAAGTGGGCAAAAATGCCAGATCCTGCCATGATATCTGTAGCCCCATCAAACATCCAGATCTTCCTATCCCAGCTCCTTGGAATGGAAAGGACTAGACAGGTAGACAAAAATGCCAAACCCAGCCTGAACATCTGGCTGACCGTGATTATTGTTGTTATTGTTATTGTTATTGTTATTATTATTATTATTATTATTATTATTATTATTATTATTATTATT